GATCCGCTTCCGGCTATCCCGAGCCTGGTCCCGATTCTTCTTTGCGCGCTGATACCGCTCCGCGGCGAGACACTTGTTGACGTCGCGCTTAATGTCGTTGCAGTTGCCCAGGGCTTTGTGGAGGAATCCGCGGGCGTGACATTCGTCGAGGGCGGTCATGATTTCTTCGCAGTCTGTTGATAACAGTTAAGTATCTTGTCATCTTTCGTGATAGTGGATTAACGTACTGGCATTGTAGGGGGTGTGTAGGTGGGAATGCATTTTGTGTATGGTTTTGTAGCTTGAGCAGATCAGAGCCGTTGGTTGATTGCGACGGTCAAAGTACTTGTTTCATCAAACAGTTCTGAACCTGTCCTCGAGTAGTAAGATAATCTCGGTCTTTGAGAAATCTCCGAAAGCGATGCCGAGCGGTGAGAGCCGGAGAGGGGATTCTGCCGGGCGGGCAGGATAAGTCGACCACGAAAAAAGTAAAAGCCGAGAGAAAAAAAAGTCTGGTAATGGAACTATCATTGGGTAGATATCGACATAGCCTTTTGGGGTAACGTATTTTCGATTCTTGACTTGAAGCTGCAATATACTGGTCAGCTGTTGAAAGGTTTTTTTTGTCTGGACGTGCCTCAGGGACTTACACCTGACTGGCTCAACAGTCATTGTGTATACCGAAAACCACTCAAAATCAATTTTACTGAGGAAAACACTTCAAGATGTCTTCTATGATCACTACAACGGCTTGGGTGCGGCGGGGAGTTGCTGCCCAGTTCCCCACCAAATATGAGATTGACGAGGAGGAGATGAACCGGATATCCAAGCTCGCTCGGATGCAGCTCGAAGAAGCCCAGGGCGATCTGGAGGCTGCCAGAGAAGGAAATGATAAGGACGACGAGACGATGGATGAGGATAAGAAGGAGGAAGCCCAAGATGCAATGGTGGACGATTCCGAAGAGAAGAAGGGTAAGACAAATTTCAATGAGTAAGTGCTGATTTCGAGTATCAAGATCCTATCGCCAAGGCTAACACTACATCTCGCATTGTTTAGTGATGATGATTTGAAAGAATACGACCTTGACCACTACGACAGCGATGAGGTTGACGAGGATGGAGAGAAGATTACCATGTTCGGAAATGTCAAGTCGCTGGCGTACCACCAGCCTAACGAGGAAGATCCATACCTTGTGATGCCGGAAGAAGAAGAGGACGAGGAGAGAGAGGAGTTGCAGATCCTCCCCACCGATAACTTGCTTCTTGCCGGTAAGGTCGAGGATGAGGTGGCCCATCTCGAAGTCTACGTCTACGAGGACAAGGAGGAGAACCTTTACGTGCACCACGACATTATGCTGCCCGCCATCCCTCTGTGCGTTGAATGGCTGGATATCCCTGTTGGCGCAAACTCGGGCGACCGGACTACTGGCAATTTTGTCGCTGTAGGAACCATGGAGCCCGACATTGAGATCTGGGATCTGGACATTGTCGATTGCATGTACCCAAACGCCATCCTGGGTCAGGGCGGTGCGGAGCTCGAGGGAGACGTCAAGAAGGCTAAGAAGTCCAAGAAGAAGACCAAGGCAAACGATGAGTTCCATGTCGACTCCGTCCTCGCCTTGGCCGCAAACCGCCAACACCGCAATCTGCTCGCATCTGCCTCCGCTGATCGTACTGTAAAACTCTGGGACCTCAACACCACCAAGTGCGCCAAATCTTACACACATCATACGGACAAGGTGTGCTCTCTGGACTGGCACCCTAAGGAAGCCACCGTTCTGCTCACCGGTAGTTACGATCGTACCGTGGTGGCGGCGGACATGAGAGCTCCCGACGCGAAAGCACGGTGGGGAGTGGATGCCGACGTCGAGAACGTGCGCTGGGATTTGCACGACCCGAACTTCTTCTATGTCACCACAGATGCCGGTATGGTCTACCGCTACGATGTGCGAAACATCCCTGCAACGCCCAAGGAGTCGAAACCGGTCTGGACCCTGCAGGCGCACGATACCTCGGTGTCATCTTTCGACATCAACCCGGCCATCCCCGGCTTCCTGGTGACCGGATCAACGGACAAGCAAGTCAAGCTGTGGAACGTCGAGAACGACAGGCCTAGCATGGTCGTCTCGCGTAAGATGGACGTTGGTAAGGTGTTTTCGACCACCTTCGCTCCCGACAACGAGGTTGGCTTCCGGCTGGCGGTGGCTGGTAGCAAGGGAACGGTTCAGATCTGGGACACCTCGACCAACGGGGCCGTTCGTCGAGCTTTCGTGTCGCGCATGCCCGCCCTTGAGGGTGACGTCAAGGAGCGCACAATCGGATTACAAGCCGATGACGATGAATCGGATGATGATGCCGCAGGGGAGGAGGTCGGCGCTCAGCAAGGCGGAGATGGCTGGGAGTCGATGGATGAGGACTAGGGGGCATGACAGAAATGGATAATGCTTTTTTTGGAAGACAAAAGTTATATTATGGGTACGCGAGCATGGAATGATATGCTTTTCTTATGTTGATACAGCCTGTCACCTCTGTTGATAAAATATCAAGATACCCGGTCGAACGTATTGACCGATCTGATTGTGACTCTGAATCAAGCTACGGTTCTCGCAAAACTCTCATCATAAGGCTGGCTGGAATCCGAGGGCACAAATCTCAAGAGCAGTTTTGCACGAGCCTTGCTCCTGGTTATGATGTCAAAATTGAGCATCCCGACGTCTCATATCCTCGATGGTCTAACGGTCATGATTTCCGCTTGTCACTCCTAGAGAACGAGCGCGGGAGACCAGGGTTCGACTCCCTGTCGGGGAGATATATTTTTTCAACTTTGTTTTGGTTTCACATTGGACATGTCAGCGGATCTATTCTGTATCTCAATGCTGCCTTTTCCTTTTTTATGGGTCTGGGATCAGAGTAATGGCTGAGCGACATCACTACTACTCCCTGATAATAAACTCTCACATTCGGCTAAACTTCATGTAGACCGTGTAATTCTATAGTTCTGCCACTATATAAACCAAATGTGCAGTGTATCGACGGACAGCCATATCGTAGGCGACAACTTTCTCGTAGCAAAGCCGAAGAATCGGTGACAAGTGTTCGCTGAGCCCAGTTCCCCCAATTCCAGATCGGGAGTTGCATCTGGAACGAGGTTCTGAGTGTGAAGCACCCTGCGGTGTTCGCATCAATTACAAGGATCGGGAGGTCAAAAAGCCCAAGCTCGAGAGACAAACACCCAGACATTGTAACAACCTGGAAGGGCCCTACGGATCCAGGGGTCAAGATGTTACACGACCACATCCCCCAAGAAACGATGTATAGCACCGAGCGTTATCTGAAAGTGCCCCAGATATGTAGCATGTCTTGTCCTAGCCATAGAGCACTAAGGCAGTCGGAGTTCGAGTTAACCCCGAGAGATGCCAGAGAAGCAGCACGTCATAGTAGAATCGTGAATGGATACAGCGCGGACTCGCCCCACGAAGGATGTGATGGTGATCGCCACTAAGCAAGTCGAGCTCGAACCATGATCACATGGCGCTCATCATTCGCTCCTCCTGGATCAGATCAATGGAAGGCAAATGTAACGCGAAGGAGCATATCCCTCGAAAATCACAACAACGGCAATGGGTTCACTGGCACTAGTTCGACATCTGCATTGCGCTCATATGGCGCTAGAAGCCTGAAGTTGGATGTCTTAGTGCTGTGAGACGCTGCAAGCAAAAAAGGCGTGTTGCACGAGGCCTTGAACGCCGCTGATAGGACCTGGACAATGCATTCCCATACAATTATTGAACAACTAGAGATGTGCCCAGATCTTGATTTGCTACCGTGTCCTGGACGGAGGATCGCTCAACGACGGGCAACGAGGCGTAGAGGGAAGTGCCCGATGAATGAGAACTCGACAGTGCCAGAGACATGGAACTCTGCCTCTTACAGTCCTGGATTTGAGGAAAGGACTCAAACAAGGAGCCAGTTAAGCCTGATATAAATATCCAGACGTCGGGGCCGTTCACATGTTCGAATAAGGTTGACTTATCGAAGGACTGAATTCTATATATCAGGAACGGTATAAAACAGGTCGTAGCTGCTCAGACATCGAGTGAAAAGAGAAATGGGGAAAAAAAGACTGAGCATCAGATCATTTCGGATAGAACAGAAAGAGAAGTAAAAAAATTCTCCCCGACAGGGAGTCGAACCCTGGTCTCCCGCGCTCGTTCTCTAGGAGTGACAAGCGGAAATCATGACCGTTAGACCATCGAGGATATTTATTGACAGGACTCAAAAACTTTGCCTACATGAATTCTGGAGAAATTAGGGAATTTCCCAGCTGCCCTTGAGAAAAGCAAGCAGTGCATATTTCAATATTGTTGAATATTCCGAGCCCGAAGACCCGATGAAACCCCAGGTGCTTGGATATGAACAGTAGTATTGTTAAAGCATGGCTCGATAGATTGTCCAGCCCAGGGCGTCAATAACATTCGAGGACACCATTATTAACAAGCTGTAATGATGTGTTCCAAAAGGTCCCAAAAAGACAACAAGGGACAGGTAACGAGGTGTGACATTAAAATATGATACAATTGAACCGTGACTTATCCAGAATGCAATTTCGTCAACGTGAAGGCAATCGATTGCCGAGGTATCACAAAATCTATTTCATTAAGGGTATCAAAGCTCAAAGCACCGCGATAGCATTTGGGGGCATCAGAGCGGAATATATGAAATCTCATAGCGTTGATCAAGAATGGCCGGTTGGAGTTCGGTGAGTCGACTTCGACGTGTTTTCATTTCTCGTGAGTGCATACACATGGGCATTTGAACGATTCCCGGGTATCGAACATGCCTGATCGTGATAGGCCTGGGAATGAAGTTGGCCGCCGGACTCGAGCGCAGGATATGGCCCGTTGATAGTGGTTGGGTCCCACGGCGTTGACCTCTTTGCAGAGGCTCAAAGCCACAATCGGGACCGGAAGGCGTGTTTGGACCCGGCAGCTAGATCTTGGAGGGGTCTCCGAAAGGTTGTCTCAACGCTCTCTCTTCTTACAGGCGCCGACGACAACGCTAATGTCATCCATTTTTCCTATATTATTGTCAATAACATGCAACGTGACAGCAGGCTAACGAAACTTACCCCCTTCGATGGCCAAGCCCTCCTCGATAGCCTTCTCCATATATGGGCTCTCTGCAAATGGATCCTGAGCGATAGCCAGCGCAGCTTTGAGCAGCTCTCTGGCTACGAATACCATACGTTCATCTGCCAGGTGGGCCGGGGGATCCCAGTAGAGATCCTTCTCCTCGAAATGTCCTTCATCCCATTTCTTGAGGCTGTCGAGCGTGATCGTCAAGACCTCATGTTCCCAAAGATTATCAAGAACTCCATCAGACACAGCCAGCACGAGGTCATCCTCCTCTAGCTGAACCTCAGAAAGCACTGCGTCCTTCCGTGGTGTGTCCACACTATTTGTGCCTAGTTGCATAGGACAGTCGAACCAGTGCCATTGTTCGGTAGTTCGAAACAGGACCTTTCCCTCGCTCGGACGGATAACAAGCACTTTGCAATCTCCCAAGTTGGTCACGTAGAGCAAGGGCTTTGCATTTCCCGCATTGTCCACAGTCCAGTGTAAAAGCGCAGTCACCGTCGTTGTGGTGCCCAGCCATTCATTCGGAGAGGTCGTCGCACGGATCGTCTCCTCGTAGGCTCGTTGTAGGTACTCGATCGGATCTAGTTTTGAGGTTTTGTCGACTTCTCGTTCGGCCTCCAGGGCCCAGAAGTGAAGCAATAATCGAGACCAAAGCCTGGTTTAATTGAGTACGGTGTCAGCGATGAGGTCTCAAGTGGCACAGATAGGACGCTGATGTTGTGCACTCACGCAGCATGACCCCGTTCTTTTGTAGCCCACGCCCCCACGCCATCGTTCACCCCGATGAAATTGTCTGCAACAAGCACTGCATCATCACCGTTGTTCAGCCCGCGGACCAGTTCACCCCGAACGGATAATCTCTTATCCTGACTCTGGTAGTGGGTTGTCAGGGGGTCGGAAAAGGAGGACGACGGCGGAGATAGGAAGGGTGGGGGAAACGGGCGCGACAGCCGTTTGGCGCAGAGAGCGTAGCCTGTCTGGAAGCAGAACGGAGCCTTTGAATGTGGATAATGATCGGGAACCGGGGTAGTGATGCCGTACGAAGGCCAGACAGCTCGATACTGCCGCACAGGCGTGCTGGGTCGGATTAGCCTCCTTGAGCTTGTTGTACGCGCTGCGGTCCACTGTGGGCTGCGTATCATCAATAATATCGTGGTAACTATAGTCTGAGTCACCATGCCCGCGTGAAATAAGAAGTACGCTCTCTCAGCGCACTGAGATTCTCGCGGTTGGGGGAAAGTGCTTTCCTTCTTTCTTTTTCGTTATCGCTGGTCCGGATTCATGGTGAGATTAGAGTTGGAAGGCGGATGGATATGGCTCACTATGGCTTGAGCGCAGCCAAACACCCGAAGAGACGATGATTACAGCAATATGTGGCAGGACCTGCTCGGGATAGCCAGTCATCGTCGAGTTTCATTGCATGGATTTAGTATTTGACTAATACGATACATCACTATCACCTCCTCCAGAGTCTCCGATTCGCCCCTCGAGCCCCCCAGTGCCATCCCCCTTGCAAGTGGCCTTCATCGCCTCAAAAGGCACGGCCAAACGAAAACAGAAAACAAAAATCAGAGGGAAAAAAAACGACCGGCCAGCTCAACCGGAGTTCATGCCAACTCCGGACCCTTCAGACGAGTCGAGTGCCCATGGCAGCGGCATGGCGCTGCTTGCCCACCACTTCTTCGAAGAGCTGCATGGCGCGGTGCAGCTCCGCGACCAGCTCATAGTGAGCAACGCCGCGACTGACCATCGCCAGCCCTTCGAAGAAGGCTCTAGCCAAACTGCCACATGTGGGACCGAAGTCCTTCTCGCCAGCACCATGATAGCGCTTGGCGAGCGCGACGCGCAGGATGCGCTCAGAGCAGGGGCAGGGCAGCAGGACGTCCATTGTGCACTCTGTCGAGCAACTGCAAGAGGAACGGCAGATGCACTTCTTCTCCTTGACGAAATCAAGAAGGCGGCGTCTGTCGTCTTCGCGTCTGATATCTCCGACGCTCCTGCCCTCGAGCTTCGCCAGGGTCGCCTGACGGTTATCAAGGATGTTCTCGCGCTGCCAAATTTCTGGCTGAATTGAGTCGCGGCTGACGAAGGGAAGTTCAATGGCTGGGAAGTCATCGGTAGCCGTCACTTTCGGCTTGACAGTCAGGTACTTCTCGGACATCACGGTGATAGTTTCGACGCCCGGCATCTGATACAGGTAAACGAGTCCTCTCCACTTCAGAACGAAAGGATGAGTCTCATTGGAGACAATCTTCAAGGTAGATGTACGATAACCGATAAGATCGTGCGCAGAGAAGCCGGTGACGGCAAGCTTGTCGGTAGCATGGCGAATGATCAAGTCCTGGTGCTGTTTAACAAGGTCGTAGTCGAGGCCACTGCAGACTTCTGGAGCGTCCAGCACGTCCTTGAATGTTATGAATATGTTGCGGAGATGACTAGCTTCAGGAAGTGTGAGCGGTTCCTTAATGAGCATGCGGCGCAGGTCAAGCTCGAAGTGACCACAGAGCTCAGCGTTGGCAATCTCCATAACCAGTCTTGCATACAGAGAATAATAAAGCCTTTCGGTGATCTCGATGAGGTCAGCAAGAGAATCTGTACCCATACCCGCTTCTGCGTCATTGAGACGAGCCAAAATACCGCCAGGAGCGTCGTCCAACTATGGTGAGTGAAAGCCATGATCAGTTTTCTGTACTCTTCTGCAAAGGTCGCTCGAGGATCTGAGGGCTTGTCCTACTTACCTCAACACCATACATCTTGAGTGCCCAAGCAAGAATTTTGGCAATGGCGTAGACCTTGGAGAAGACGCTGAGGACACTGCCAAATTTCTCTGCAGCCGCCTCGCCGTAAGGATTTTCGAGAAGCTGCTCACGGGCAGCGAAAGAGTGCCATTCAGACGAGCTGATGGTGTAGGGAAGAGCGGGAGTTTCGATGGGTGGCATCTCATGACTATGTGTTAGTTTCTTCCCCTAGATCTGTATGGCAGACTGCCTGCTAAGGATATCGCGTCCACTTACAGCTGAAGCGTAAGAAGCCTCGGTACTGTCTGAAGCACGCATGGTGCGAGGCTCGAGTCTTCTCTCTTTCTCTTCAAGCATCTCTTGAGAGTACTTGTAGAAGCCGTCGGTGTGTTCGCTGATTTCGAACTCGTCAGGCAAAGCAGGTTGTTTACCCTTCGACTGTGATGAGCGTCTGCGGAACAGCTTCTGGAAGGCTGTCTGCCAGGAGTGAGAGCGTGATCTACCCATGGTTGGCAGAGAGCGTTTGTGTTGTTTGTGAATCGTGGGTCAGCAGTCAAGCCGCGTGGTTTAGCACTATGCAAAGTGCGGCTGGGTAGGTGGTGAGAACTGTACAGGGAAGATGAGTGCTTTTAGTTGTTGATGTGTTGAGCGATGTGCTTTACTTCTGGTCAGTGAATGTCGTCCCTGAGGACCTGGTGCATAAATGCCACTTCACTGTGAAAGACATGGCTGAGTGTTTATAGCTATGGTCAGAGATGACCATAAAAAGCTTTCTTACATCAGATTCCCCTAAAGAAGCTTCTCATTAAGCTACTGAGCATGAACAGTTCATCTTATTGCATCAGAAGAAATCAGAGGCAGTAATATGTGAGTACACTATTGACCACCAAATCTCGCATAGGTTCTTCGTCATTTCAGGAAACCTGTGAAACATATAGCTAACATCAATCCACTCATTTTTCTGGTAGTGATAAGGAGACTACAAGACTACAAGACTACAAGACTACAAGACTACAAGACTACAAGACTACAAGAACCGACAGGGTACACGTCGACTGTTTATGGTTGCCATATAGGATAAAATAGACAAGACCATACAGTGATCCATTAGGCAGAGAAAGATGAACAATGCAGAGAAGAGTATCATGGTCTATTTAACAACAGAGGATACTTTCATGCTTAAGCTATGAAAGAAGAGGATCAACTTCAATGGCTGAATTCTGTGTAACAAAGGCATATGGCAGAATGACTTCTGCGATCTTCCAGATGGCTTTGTTAGCCCTGTCGACATACTCGGACGATACGCATGCACACTCCCTAAAAGAAAGAGACTGGTGGGAACAATTATTAGCTTGTGGCTTGAGTTGCGAGAAGAAGGGCCAACTTTTTCGAAAGGTGTGGTCTCTCGAGAGAAACTTACTTGCAAGTTTGACAGACTTCTGACCCATTCAAAGCCCTCATCACAGGGCTTGTCTGGCAACTGCTTACCTTTTTGCCCATCTGTTGGATGGCTAAGTAAACGGTGACAATTCTCCAGCCAGAGAACTTCGAGCTTCGCACCAGGTGCCAGTCGGTGCCCTTCTATCACTGCATCGTCTTCATCCTTCTGAACGCCCCCAAGCCAATTCAAAAACTCCGGCTGGGCACCACGGCAGGTCCTCAACTTCAAGACTCTGAGCTTAGGGTTCTTTTCCACAAGCATCGCCAACTGCCATGGTGTGATGCCTGATCGTTCCAATATCAGAGTCTCGAGGCCGGTGATCCCTATGTTCTTGTGGTTCCCTATGCCCGCCAGTAAGTTCCAAGCAGTGCTACCCGGCGCAGGATAATACCAAGCGGTTGGCCTCATCGGCCCGTCGCGGATATGCGGATGCTCGAAGCGCAGTGCCAGATAACGCAGTGCGTGTCTACATCTGGTGCCGAGCGCTTTTGCTCCATCGACATCAAGATCGTAGGCCATGAACTCAAGCTTGACCAACGAAGGCCCGTATCGATCCACCAGTCGCGCAAGAACTTTGTTCTGTGCTTGTACTGTCTGCTCCTGAGCTTCTTGTGGGGTCATGCCCTGCTTTCTTTGCAGTCTGTATTTAGTATGTGACTTTCCGTCCAATCCTTGCTTTGCATAGATGCCTGGTTGGATCACGGAAATTTTATAATCACTCCTGGAACCATCACGTTCATGAGAAGCAGAAAGTTAATCGGGAGTAGCCCAGCCTGCCTGAAGTAGAGAGATCATGGAATGGACTCGCTTTTCGAATACTCCAACTCGAAGACGCCTCAGGCAAAGGGCGTGAGACTTGAAATTTGTGCGAGAAGTTTCACCAAAGGCGAGGAGTGACTCGAAAGGCAGGTACGCCAGGATGGAGAGAAGTATCTCTAATGGTAGTAAACTGATCTTGTCCGACATGTTGAACCAGAGTACTCTCGAGCCCATCAACGAACACTGCTCGCAATTCTTGAAGTCGTCGCCGTTCCAACCCTGGCCTGGTTTCGTTATTTGTTCCTTCAGCAGAAAGCAATATAGAGGCTACGCTTTGAAGCACAGAATAATTGCTCCAGGAAATGTTGGTTAGGCGTTATAACATATTAGGAGCATCCATTGCCCATGTAAACAAGGTGATGTTCAGCGTACGTCGGTCGAACAACCTGAGGTATTTCTGATCAATAAGTTGTTCCAAAGAATGGTAATGCCTCAGCCAAAAAGGAAATGGAAAAATAAAAGAGACAAGCTAAATCCCTTAACGAGGGAAAGTTCTTCGACCACATGTAGAGGGCTTACCTAGAGGAGCTTGACAGTAGTGCCAGACGCAGTATAGTGGAAGCGATGCGAGTGAAGGCCTTGGTAGATATCAAGTGGTTCTATCTTTGGCGTATTGTCATTGCAGAGACGATGATAGCTGTTGAGGGATTTTCAGAGAGCTGAGTGAGCAAAGTCTGGGAATCCGTTCGATCTCGCAAGAGACCAAAAAATGAACTTCCAAGCTGTACTGATTTGCACTGCTCCTGTTTCTTGCAACTCGACTGCAGCGGGAAATTGTCACCTTTCTCACTCGATCACCCCTTTCGCTGAGGTAATATGGTTCTCCTGTCTTGCTATTCTCCATCAATATCCAATCCTGAGGATATATCTCCGAGGAATCCTCGACTTTGAGGTTGTCCAGGAATGTGCCAAATGAGACAAAGAATGATGACAGTATGCAAAAGGCAACAACCGAACAACGTGCCTTAAGTGAGGCAACCACGGTCATACAAGTTGGCTTCAATCTTGATAGACGCTTGGTGTCTCAATTTTGAAACTCACTCGCTTATTTATGGGGATTGTGTGGCATGGCTGGCAGCACACCATGATCGCTCTTCAACTGGCTACGTATTTTTCCACATGGAAAGGGATGTATAGCTGCAGAAAGCGGGAGAACAAAGCAGGCAATGACAACGATGTTCCTGTATGATCGTCTGGCACAACACTGATAAAGACGAATGACTAGTTGCTGCACACGTTGTTTAGACTTGGGATGATCGTGTGGGTGTTTATTGTCCCCTTGCGACAAGCTGGAACTCGAGGAGAATGCAATAGCAAACAATGACCGTCAAATTAGCCGAATGGAAACGAGTGTGACTGTGTGAGTACCTGAATCCTGCGTTCCATCTTTGTTCTGATTTTTTTTTTATCCCCGATACATGGTTCTTTGTTTTTGACTCTGCCACTAAGTTTACAACCTAAGTAGGGCAGACCACTTTGCTACACAGGAAGGGTACAGCGATCAAATCTCCTTCAGTCCTGACATGCTAACTGGAATTGTGGCTGGAATTACTGGAAAGGGCGACAAAGAATACACAATTGTGGTCAGCCTTCTCCAATGGACAAGTCGCTCAGAATTGGCTGTGACTTGTGACGGATGTCTGAATCATGCATCAGCGCTCCTGTGTTCTTTCCTCAGTCACCGACGCAGATCCGATCATCTGTTCCACGGGCATACCAATGATACCAAGGCACTAGATTCGAATTGCATGCCTGGTGCGACTCCGAACCAGGCTGTCGGACTTATATACCCAATCGAAACACGAACATCCTGTGGGCTGGTTGGTGATGCGATCAAGTGAATCTGAGGCGCCATTGGTTGGGTTTTTCGGAGAGCCCAGATCAAATGATTACAGCTGCCAGGGGGGCCGCTCACTACTGCCTGATATTTGCTACTGGTCACGACCGAGATCCCAACATAACTTGGTAGTAAGTCGGTCATCTGCTGGTTGGATTCCGCAAGTCCGTTGCTTTTTCTCGGTGATGCTTCGCTGAGCAGTCTTCGTGGCCGGATGACTGTCCTGCCGGTGCCATACTTTGAAGGATACCCACTGCAAGAATAACGTTGTCACACGTGTTGGCTGTGATTCGAGACGCTAACATAAACACATATTACACGCCAAGGATGTAAGGACAGCAGGGGCCAACAAGTACAGTAGGGGCCCGAAGGACAACCAAGGAAGAGATCACAAGTCTCAATAGAAGAAGCCAAGATGGCGGTGGAGACTGTAGATACGAAGAAGCCAGGATGATGATCAGTCTTTGTTGCCAAGTATCCACCTCGTGTGGATTGACAGATGCATCCTTGATCATGGATACGTACCCGCCTGTTGCAAAGGGGGGAAAAGCAATTATACTTGAAACCCTGGCAAGAATGAGTCCGAATTCTCTGAGATAGGTCAAATCCTCTGGACACTCCTTTGCCTCTCGCTGAAACGGCCAAGTAATCGTACGGTATGGTGCTCCCTGGAGCTAGTGAAATTGTATGTGCATTTTGCTTGTTCAGCTTGAAATGCTTCTACTGCCTTCGAGCCGCAATATACAACAAGAAACACAATTGATCGCACTATCCATGAACCCTGAACGTACGACCGCTGGCCGTCTTTCGCTCCCGCTCCTCGTTTTCAGGTCGAGCTCTGTTGAGGACTGTTATTGTTAGCAACGAACTAGGCCGCGGTATCCATTGCGACTCACCTTGGAGGAAGTCTGCTGTCCTCTTACGCATTCTAGTGTGAATATATGCCTATACACAGTCAGTCGATTAAAGAAGGAAAACAATGACATCATTGAAGCATACCTTGGACGCCTTGATGTGATAATGGAAATAGTCACGGAAGGTTTGGATGTGAGAGATATTTTCGTAGCGTCGCTGAGGAGTCAGGTGTCGAGGGAAAAGAACTGGGAGCTGTCAGTCAAGACTCGTGACCGACGCAATGAGATTTGCTTACCAAAAGTGACATAACTCATTTTACCGTCCCCAGCGGTCTGGAGACCAGGGACCCCCTGAAGCTCCAGCGGAGGGTCGCTGCGGAAGAGCACTTGGGGCGCATTCTGCAACGTCACCACACGTCTTCTCGCGTCGACAAACTCCTGTAAGAAGACTTTGCCAAAGATACGATCCGTCTCTTCGCGGAAAACAGTGCTGAAGATCACCGTGACCCGGTCATGACTGGCCTTGATGTAAATTGCTTCCTCTTCCCGGTAATGAATTGCCATCAACTCTCCACCTTCCTTGACTCCCTGGGGTGCGGACTCCGATGTGTACCTAGATGCCTCCTCTGACAACTTCGCGAATTCGTCGAATGCCCTTTCGAACGGAGCAGCCATGGCGTTACGTTTCAGCAACGCAAGCCGCATGATGAGCTCGTCCCGAGCTTCCTGCTCTGCGGGCAGGTTCTCCAAGTCAATCTGTACCGAGAAGTCATAGCCAGGCTCTGGTGTGACAATGTAGGGACCATATTCTCTTTCCAGTACCTCTTGGGCACCGTATTGAACCAGCTCTTTAAAGCACTTCACGTGGATGGAGATAAGGATCTTGGTCTTCGATTCTGGCGTCGAGAGGTGGAAGGTCACTCCGTCAAAGTCAGAAACGACTTGGTCAATTGAAACCGGCGTGCCTCTGTCGCAACAAGCGAAAATGTTAGCTGACGTCGTAAAGGCCGGGACCTGCGTATACCAAACGAGGCGGGGAGGGGACAGCTATACCCGGAGAATCGCTCCGTCAGGAGGTTCTGAATGAGAACGTTCTGATAATCGAGCAAGAGCATGACAACATACACTGTATCGCAACTCAATTGATTCTAATAGCAAAGGTAGTATCTGTCATGCACCTGTATATAGTCAATCAAGTTGATGAGTCGGGTCGATTGGGTGCTTGGGGGGCAGTGACGGCAGGCGGTGGGGATTTGTCCGGGGTGGTCGCTCTCGCCGCCCGTAGTTTTTTCTGGCGCATTTTGGCCTATCGATAGCAGTCAGTCTCGGGGCTCTTAAATTTTCCTTGCTATCGACTTGGGCGTTTTAACGATGGTGAAGTCATATTTGTATGTGCAGGCTTGTTGGACAAATTCATGCATGGTGGAATCTCGAATGTGAGGAGCTAATTTTTTCTAGGAAATTCGAGCAGTCGAATACCTTCGGGCTCGTTGCGTCGGGTTCGTCGAATGCGATTTGGACCCGAGACGATGGTCTCACTGGTACTGCGCGCCGTACAGGCGCTGGAAGGGCCATTGTCGGAGCCGGTGAAGAGGTTCTCTGCTGGGATATTAAGAAAGGTGACTTACTTGGACGGTGGCGCGACACATCCTGCAAAGCGCAGGTGACCGTGATCACCCAGAGTAAGACCGACGAGGACGTTTTCGCTGTCGGGTAGGTCTTTTTCTTTTTATCAGATATGGGGCATTTATCTGCTTGGTGCTTACATTCAGGATTGATTCTGCTTAGGTACGAGGATGGAAGTATTCGTATCTGGGACTCGAGAACAGCGACCGTGATCATTTCGTTCAACGGCCACAAATCGGCCGTTACTCGACTCGCCTTCGATGCTGCCGGCGTGCGCGTTGCTAGTGGCTCGAAGGACACGGATATCATCGTGTGGGACTTGCTCGCGGAAGTTGGGCTTTTCAAGTTGCGCGGACACACCGACCAAGTCACCTCGCTCCATTTCCTCAATCTGTCTTCTGAATTGCTACATGCCGCTGGACTGAGCGAGCACGCGGGGTTTTTGCTCACTACCGGCAAGGACTCCTTAATCAAGGTCTGGGATCTGGCTACACAACACTGTATTGAGACACATGTGGCCCAATCGAACGGCGAGTGCTGGAGCTTGGGCCTCTCCCCCGACCAAAGCGGCTGTATCACCGCAGGAAACGATGGAGAACTCAAGGTTTGGTCGATTGACGAAAGCGCTATGCTCGAGATCTCGCGAGAGAAAGTTGGTTCCGAAGATCGCAAAATTCTGACAGATAGAGGGACGCTTTATCGGAACGGCAAGGATCGAACGATTGGTATCAGCTTTCACCCGCACGCTGACTATGTCGGATTCCATGGCTCGGAGAAGGCACTAGAAATTTGGCGCATCCGCTCAGCGGCAGAGATACAAAAGAGCTTGGCGAGGAAGCGTAAGAGAAGAAAGGAGAAGGAAGCTCAGCGGGCTGCAGACAAGGAAGGGGCAGTGGCAGAAGTTGACAATGAGAAGGTCGACGACATTTCCTCTGCACCGGTCACAGAAGTCTTTGTTCCTCATGTCATTGTTCGCACTGGCGGCAAGATCCGTTCCTTCGACTGGATTCGAACAAAATCCACGGGCAATCTTCAGCTTCTGGCTGCGACTACGAACAACCAGCTGGAAGCGTACAGCGTTACCACTGCGAATAAGAAGAAGGACGATGATGACTCGGACTACAACCGCAACCTGGCCGTTGACATTCCGGGTCACCGTACCGATATCAGATCTATTGCCCTGAGTTCGGACGACCGAATGCTGGCTTCTGCGTCCAACGGCAGCTTGAAGATTTGGAATGTTCGTACGCAGAGCTGCCTGCGTACCTTGGAGTGCGGTTACTCCCTGTGCTCTGCCTTCCTCCCCGGTGACAAGATCGTCGTGGTGGGTAATAAGAACGGCGAATTGGAAGTCTTTGACATTGCATCGTCGACCCTGCTGGATACGATCAAGGCACACGATGGACCAGTCTGGTCTCTGCACGTTCATCCTGATGGCAAATCGATGGTCAGTGGTAGCGCTGACAAGTCCGCCAAGTTTTGGAACTTCCAGGTTGTCCAGGAAGAAATCCCCGGCACCAAAAGAACTACACCACGCCTCAAATTGGTACATACAAGAACCCTCAAAGTTGCGGATGACATCCTCAGTCTTCGCTTCTCACCTGACGCTCGGCTGCTTGCAGTCGCCCTCTTAGACACCACCGTCAAGGTTTTCTTTACCGACTCTCTAAAACTCTTTCTCAACCTTTACGGCCACAAGCTTCCTGTCCTCAGTATGGACATCTCCTATGACAGCAAGCTCATTGTTACATGTTCCGCGGACAAGACAGTTCGCTTGTGGGGTCTGGACTTTGGTGATTGCCACAAAGCATTCCTGGCCCATGAGGACAGTATCATGGCAGTCGCTTTCGTTCCTACTAACAAGGAGGGTAACGGCCACAACTTCTTCAGCGCGAGCAAGGACCGTGTCATCAAATATTGGGATGGTGACAAATTTGAGCACATTCAAAAGCTTCAAGGACATCATGGTGAAATTTGGGCTCTGACCATCAGCCATTCCGGCGAATTCATCGTCAGCGCTAGTCATGACAAGAGCATTCGCATTTGGCAACAGACAGATGAACAGCTCTTCCTGGAAGAAGAGCGCGAGAAAGAGCTTGAAGATATGTATGATAACACCCTGACGGCGTCTCTTGAGCAGGATGAGGATGCAGACGGAGAGAAGGCCGAGGCAGTCGACGCCGGGAAGCAGACCACCGAAACACTCATGGCCGGAGAAAAGATCATGGAAGCCCTGGATTTGGGTATGGCAGACCTCGAGGTGATGCGGCAATGGCGCGCCGTCAAAGTCAGCCAGCCAAACGCGGCTCCGCCGGCTCGCAACCCTCTGTACATGGCACTGGGTAACATCTCAGCCGAGCAGCATGTGCTTAGTGTGGTTCAGAAGATCCCTGCCGCTGCACTCCAGGATGCTTTGCTCGTTCTGCCATTCTCCAAAGTGCCGGCACTTTTCACATTCCTCAATATCTGGGCCAACCGGGGCTGGAATATTCCTCTCACTTGCCGTGTTCTGTCCTTCATGCTGAAGACGCACCATCGTCAGATCATCGCCAGCAAGATGATGAGACCTATGCTGGATAGTATCCGGTCAACCCTACGTCGAGTGCTCACGCGTCAAAAAGATGAGATGGGGTTCAACCTCTCTGCTTTACAGATCATCGGCCAGCAAGTGCGGGAAGCGAGCACCAAGGACTACGTCGATGAGGAAACGTGGGAGCAGGAGCACCCACAGGTGACGGGCACAGGCAAGAAGCGGTCATTTGTCCAAATTGCTGCTTAAGGGCTTACTCAATCTACGAGCATGTACTTTGTATCGGTGCATATATGGCGTTGCGATTTATTATATGATGTTGGATGATTTCGGCTACGAAAGTTCTATATCCTGGAGTTTCGAGGCAAAAGTTGGTCTGTTAATAGAGTATCTTGATTTCTAGACATATATATTTCGAGCCTGTACGACGAAGAAATTCAATTTCGACATTATCAATGCACAAGTGCAAAAAAAAATCTGAGCGTTGGCAACCAAGCAAAGAGTAGTCTAACCTGTCACTTCAAGCAGTCAGCACAATCCATCATCAAAGACATTAACTGAGATGCCAAAAAGCAATGCAACCAGCGTACAGAACCCAGCACCACATGCCCCCCACAAACAAGAAAGAGACAAGCGAAGCAAAAAAAGCCCAATCATCAACCCGAGACTCCACTCAGCAGAACCATTATAAGCACCGACGACAAGGGAGACCCCAATAGTGATATGGCAATCTCCTCAAGTCATACCTCTTCCGGCTCTTCCTAAAAGTATCGGTTCAAGAAATGTTCTCATCATCTAGGAGAAGGTTGTGATTGTGCTTTTGTTTGCTTTTGGAGCTTGTTCTTGTTCGAGAAGGGCTTTGGTTCGAGTTAGGGGTGGGATAAGGATATCGCATACCAGTTCTGTTAGTTGTGAGTTGATACGTGTCTGAAGTCGTTGGGATGAAAGCTGGAGGCATTGTACAGCTGTCTCGGCTGTTAGGAGTGAAGCTTGATAGCCTTGAGGAAAGAAGCGAAAGTGGACGAAAATCGTCGTTGAGTGGGAAAATTCAGGGGCCAAGGATTGATATGTGGGGCACAATGAGATCACGTGATAGTTAGTGGTACATATCCGCTTGAAGCCAAGATATAGATGTCCGTAATCCGATAGACCAGCTTCTTCCCACTGACCTTGCCCTGTCTCAGCTCTTCCAATCCCTCCAAAACGCCCTCCAAGCCACCGTTTCTGACATCCACACGGTGAAACTTGAACTTCCCCTCAGCCAGCAGCCTCTCACTAAGCTTGAAGAACATCTTGGCAAAATCGTAGTCTTCCTTGCTGGCAGGGAAATCGATACCAGCCCCGAAGGCCTTGTAGAAAGGCTCACCAAAGATGGTGTATGCTAGGGTGCTATCAGTTCGCGGGAACTCACAAAACAGTACCGAGCTATACATTGGCTTCTTCGTTGATACATCAGACGATAGCGCTTCCGCGCAGATCGGAAGAGGGTTGCCCTCAGAAATGCAATCGAAGGCGTAGTACAGCTCGTTGCTGGTGTGTTTGCGGATTTCAGCACCGCAGTTGGGAGCATTATAGTCAAAGACGGCATCGGCGCCCAGCGACTTCAGCATATCAAAGTTATGGGGCGAGCTCGTGGCGATGACCCAGGGCCACAAGAAGGAACTGAATGTATCAGGATACATATGGGTTAGACGAACATCTTGGCGAATTGGATACAGTACTTCCACCATAAATCAAGACCGGGAAACGTTCTTTGCTTGGTTGGTTGGGCAGCGGGAGCTGCAGAGATTGATACAAGCCTTGTCCGATAGTGGCAATCCCGACTCCCCCTGTCGCGGCCTCTTCGAAGCTCACGCCATCTGGAAGCTTGAACGAGATTCCTTCCTTAACGGCCACGTATTCGGCAAAGGCACCATCTTCTTTATGGCTTGAATTTCCTCCGTGCGCCACCCCCGCGATTCTGTCCCCCTTCTTAAGAGTGGTAACATTCGAGCCGACTTCCTGGACGACACCAGCGAAGTCGGAACCAGACGTGCAGCCCTCGCTGGGAATGAGATGGATGTGCTTCTAATCTCCGGGTTCAAAGCCACACCCGCAGTTTTGACAACGACATAGTCCGGGTGAACCTGAGGGGTTGGGACTTCAGCAACAGCGGCTTTGCCAACTTCCTGGATTTTGACGGCCTTCATGTCGGTAGAATCGTGGGATTGAACGTTTAGTGATCATGTGTTTGCATCTTATAAATCATTTTTTTCTTTTTTCTTCTTTGGCCCTTTACATGGCCCTTTAGCTCGAGCGCAATAATGATTTCGGGCCCTGGAAACAAGACAGTGCGGGCCAAGAATGTAATCAGTCCATGTTCACTAATCAGATCCAATGAGCCGGCTAACGGATTAGGTACGATTCGATTCCTCATGTTTGGCCGTCTTCCACTCCTGAACTAACCCCCGAATCCCGATAATCTGCTGGCCTGTGCATTTGGAACACATGCTTCCACCGGGTTGATTTTCTCTGAGACAGTATACGGGAGATTATATCCATGATGGTCTATGGGTGTCTTCATCATAGAATGTCCAACAGGTATGTTTGAAGAACATCATTGGTAGGGACCAAGCAAAGACCTGTGGCCCTTGTCTTCCGGTAGTCTCACGAAACTGATGGATGGCACCGAGATATCACATGAGACACTCTTATAGATAGAGGGTGAGTCTTGAGTTGGTGGGAGTACCACCGGAGCAACTCAGGGGCTATGAGCCTATGTTAGCAATTGTGCATGTTCAGTGACTGCTCAGTGAGTAGTCCGAAGCAATCACGGATTGCTCACATGCTACCCTCACAAAAGCAGCGGCACCTGTAGTGGGAAATACCAAAGGACTTGCAGAAACAGTTCAGTTATGAACTACTGCAACTTCCAAGCTATCTACTTGGAATATTAGCGTAAGCTCTGGCTTCAAGTACGATTAAATGAAGGATTCATTGACGTATATCCGCATATTTGAGTCTATATTACCAAGTTCAGAGTATGGAGTCGTTTCTCGTAGAAATCATAATCATCATACAGTTCATCAGATCAAGTATGTGCGATTGACTCATGAGACCTGCTTCAACATTCCACAGTTCGAACAAGTCCACCATTCCGTTTCCATGAATGTGCCACATGTTTGACAGATCCAGCCTAAGGGCCGCTTGGCGATACTGCTGTCAAGGGCAGCGAGGGTTTCCACGGCCCTAGTTCGGTTCTTGGAAACAGTTTGACTGGCAGATTGGCTTATCGGACGCTTTTTCTTGTTGCGACTGTCTGTACTGCAAAGGCCTGTGGTTGACGGTCCAGGTAATGATCTAGTAGCTGACGGTCGTGGGCGTTCCGAGGCACAAGCATCACAGCACAGGAAGTTGGCTGGGTTCTCAAGAGTGCAGGTGGGGCATGTCCAAGGTTGTTCGTAAGAGGTATTATCGAAGGTGAGATCGATTGGATCTCGCGGCTGAGTCGAGGGAGTAGGTTTGGTGTTTTCTGGTGTAGGAGGAGGAGAAAGAGATGACCGAGGCCCTGCGGGAAGTTCCTGGCTAGGAGGGATATAAGAAGGCCCATACCTCTCCCTTTCTTCTTGCTGTATCAAATCGATGTAAGCTTCCATGATAGCCCGTTCATTTGCATCGTCTTCTTCGGCTTTGGTGCGAAACCCATTCCTAGAGGCTTCCTCTGCAAGTTCAACGCTGTTGTCCGCCCCAGAGGCACAGCCTTTGGTCACGTCGATACGCCTCTGCGCGGCCTCGGCAATGATTCTGCGCATGTCTGTTCCTCGCAATACGGGGGTACCACCAAGCCGCTGCCCTGATCCCGCTGAAAGGGTCCGTCTTCGCTCTGCAGCCGCTCTAGCTACGCGGCGCGCCTCATCTATTGGCATGTTCCGACCACCCAGGCGTTTACCTTGAGAGAGAAAACCTTCTCCGGTGTAGCCTTTCATGACTAGCTCTTCATGTTCATCACGTAACTGGTTCCATAGGGCGTGAAAATGCTGATTATGTGGTCCATGTACAATATGACAGAGCCTGGATATGTCAATGAACGAGTTTTCTGGTATCTGAGCATCGACTTACTCGTGCAGCATCGTATCGACTACCTGCTCTAAAGGTAGGAATTGACGCTCGTCAGAAGGATATCGCAAACGGAGACATATTTTCTGGCCCGCGTTGACATTCAAGCCCAAGAGATTTCGTTGCTGTGGGTAGAATTCAGATAGTGTTCCTACCCTCCAAGCCCTCTGGCGCATAATTGGTTTGACTAGAGAAGCGATCTTCCGGAGCATCAACAAAGCTTCTGCTTCTCTGGGCCGGTGTTTGTCATGTTGGTACTCGGAGACCAACGGGTCTAGTTCGCGCATATTGATGGACCGTGAACAAGACCGAGTCGATTTGAAGAAAATCTGAGGAAGATACTGAGAAAGGAGGATGTGAAAATGATCCTGTTTGGTTCTGAAGCCCTCCCAAAGAGAATATATGCCTGTTGACGATGAATACCATATATGTTCCAGCAGATGAGAGATCTCTGCCAGGCACAGGCGTACAAGCTGGTACAAAAGTTGGTAGCGTGATTCCCCAGTGCCACAGGAAAGATCAAAGCGAAATGGATATTTGCCACATTCTATCTGTATTCAATAGACTTGGAAATAGCGTGATAATGTCGAAGGGCCTTGCTACGACTCTCCTTGGATTGATAATCAGCGGAAGACATTAGAATCAATGCTGCCTTCGACGATAATCACGTGCAAAGGCTGCTCCCTTCCCTGAGGCCAAGAAGTGATGCCTGACGGCACCTCAGAACAAGTGAGGCCTGTAGGCAGGACGCTCCTGAAGAGATAAATGACCAATCAAGAGTTGGGAAGTTGTGGCAATTTTGATGCACAAAGCAGCTGCTTACTAGATGTACTACTGAGGCTAGTACTGATATGGACTAGTTTACTTGAAGTCAAGACTCTTGGTGATTGAAGAACTTAGGTATGGATCAATACGTGCTGCAACATTTCACAGTAAACCACTTAATGATATGACAATATCAAATTCATCTAGATACTCTCTGCTACAAATAGCAGCTTTGTACGAAGTAATTCCGAGCCCAAAGCTACAGTTGACGCCTTATCCTTATCATAGGCTGCGGAATATATCTGCTCATGTGACTCGCTGATATACATTTGCTGCACTTATCAGTGGAACTTTTTCACCTTATCAACTCTTGTGCCATCAAGCAGTTGACTTCTGATTTCAAATTCCAATCAAGATGACGAGTGATGACCAGTTCTTCTTTGATTATGTGAGTTACTTGGTTTTCCTAACTGTCAGTCGCAAGACTTACAAGGTGCTTCAACATCCAGCTTGCCTCGATTCCGCATGACGTAAGGAGATACTCGTTCGAGGTTGCAGATTCTATCGACCGGCAAGTCGATCACATCGCGACAGTGATTCGCGATACACTCTCACATCAATCATGGCTCCCCCCTGCAATCCGACCATCTCCCAAGACGTATCCAGGCTTCCATGCGGCGCGGTCGCAATCTTTCACTGATCGCGTGTATGACTGGGTGATCCGAAATCGAGCATGGAGCGCTGCTTTAATCGCATTTATTGGGACAACTAGCGTCTTGTATTTCGGGAGTAGGAAGCTACATGGCCGCCGGCGGAAGGCAAGGAGGGCTGGAAATGGCGCTCGAAAGGAGATCGTTGGTATGTTACCGAGTGAGGAAATCGGTGCGGGTTGTTCCTAAGAGCTAACTTCTTGGTCAGTTGTCGCCGGGTCTCCCCATGAAGCGATGACCAGAGCGATTGCCACTGATTTGGAGCGTCGAGGCTATATTGTGTTCATTACTGTCACATCAGCTCAAGAGGAGCACCTGGTTCAGTCGGAAAACCGAATGGACATTAGAGCCCTTTGGCTTGATCTCACAGCAGTGAGCATCCGTTCTGCATGCCAGAAGACGAACCATTGCTGACCTTCCTAAATAGACCCCTTCGCCTTCTGAGATTCATCCCTCTCTGGGTGACATACATTCTCTCATTACACAACCACAATGGCCAATGCCTGGCGTACCTCCCCATACCTGCCAGCTAAGCGGTATCATCCTGGTGCCGTCTCCTAATTATGCAACTGGCCCGGTCGCCACTATTCCGCCATCAGCCTGGGCCGATACCATCAATACTCGACTCCTTTCTCCTATACTAACCGCTCAGATATTCCTGCCTCTCCTTACTCTTCGCAACACGAATAGCACTATCATCGTCCTCTACCCCTCTATATCGTCTTCGCTTTCGGCACCATTTGCCGGTCCCGAAGTCACTACCGCCCGCGCTTTGTCAGGATTCGCGACGTCTCTACGGACAGAGTTGCGGCTCTTGCAGCATAAGAACATTGATGTTGTGGAGTTGAAGCTTGGCAACATCGACCTCGGCCCCCAGTTCCGTGACGCGCAGAGTCATGTCACCGGGACCGAGGTCCTCGCATGGAGCGCACAGCAACGGTCTCTCTATGGGCCGCAGTACCTTTCGAGCATCGAACAGCGGCCCGTGGCATCTGCAGGGCCCAGTACAGTGAGAGGCTCACCCGCCAGAGCGCTCCACTACGCGGTGTTGGATGCACTAGAGCCAGCGTCGAAAGATATTTTTGGGAGAAAAGTGCCCAAGAAGCGGGTCATATATGCTGGACGAGGCGCGAGGTCATATAGCATTATTGGCGAGTGGGTTCCCGCCGGCCTCGTAGGATGGATGATGGGCCTCCGAGGTGGGCACCCTACAGCGTCGGACAGTGCCAGCAATAGCAGCAGTGAGACTGGCTGGGAAAAAGTTAATGAAGCGCGATAAGCTTTCTGCCTATATTTGGATATAAATTTTGATATCGGCCGCCACTGACATGCCTTGATCGGTCGACCCCATCTCCTCTATTCTGGACGCAATGGACAGCTCTCATGAGAAAGAATACTCAAATTGCATATCAGTTAGTATTGGGTCGCAGCGTGCACACATATATGCTCGTTATGATTACGTATTAACTATAAGAAACACCAACTAATACCTCGATTAAACTCCGACATGCCCCATTTCAGGTCCCACGTACACGTCCTCCTTATCGTAGACCGATCTTTTGATCTTTCCACCGGTAAGCCTCCGCCTCAACCAAATCGCCCCCCACGACAGAATGAAA